AAAGCAGTTTCAGAACTTGATGGATGTTTGTTTACCCTGCCTGATAGTTAATGAAATTAAAATCGAGGGATGAATGAAGCCTCCAGGGAGTCTGAAGAACAGACACCCCTGACTGCTTATCATTTTTTTATGACTTTATTTATTTATTTTTAGAGAGAGTGGGGAAGGAAGGGAGAGAGGGGGAGAACCATCAGTGTGAGACAGAAGCATCTATTGGTTGCCTCTTGTACACACCCCGACTGGGGATCAAACCTGCAACCCAACAGCTTAACACTTAGAAGTATTTACAAATCATTAAAAATAAAATACAAATGCAACAAACTGATTTACAAAAGAACTTATTTGTATCTTTAAGTCAATTCTTAACATAGAGTCATTTTCCAGAGAGAGAGGAAAGCTACTTCTCAACAACTTTATCCCCAAAACATTTTGCTGATTCATTAAAACCATGGCCTGAAATAAGACACAAATGTTCAATTTTTGTCAAGTCAGGTTTCTTTACTCTGCCAGTGAGGAAGGAAATGATTTTTAAAAGTTCATGCTGAAATACAAAAGTGGAGGCTCCTGTGTGTCAAGAGCATAAGGTTCGGAGCCCTGACCCTGCGCTCTATCCACATGACCTGGATAGCAGGCTATTTACTGTTTGCAAAGAAGCTCAGGTTCCCTAACTACAAAATGTGGACACCCTAACTACAACAGTGCCTGCCGTCACAAGTTGGTGTGAAAATTGAACAACAACAACAACACATAATATTTATTGAGATGAATATTTAATTCCACAGTTATACAACAAATGCCTGGGCTTACATTGGAACCCATGTAGTTAAGTACTAGAGCTCCTGCCTTCACTACGGCTTCCTCATTGGTGAGAGTAAGTAGTCAGCATAGCACGGGCCCCTGGAAGCTGCTATTGTTATTACTGTCACTGATTTTTCTTTTTTAAATTCTTATCAGAGGACTTTTAAAATTGATTTTTAGAGAGGAAGGGAGAGAGAAAGAGAGAAATATTATCAATTGGGTCCCTTCCTTACGTGCCCCAACTGGAATTCGAACCCACAACCTTTTGGTGTACTGGGTGATGCTCGCACCAACTGCTCACCCAGCTAAGGCTGTCATGGATTTTAAGGGGCCTGGAAATAGAACGACACTTTAGAGCTTTAAGTGCTCTGGAGGTGTAAGGACTAGGGTAGAGTTTCTTTAAAGTCTTTGATTCCCACCTCCTTCTTCTTGAACTACTGCCAAGGTGTCCAGAGAAGCTCCTTTCCCATGGGAAACAGCTGCATTTGGTACCACAGCTGTATCTTGTGAATTAACCCTTCCCATTGAAGCTGGGTGACAATATTTTCTCATTCTGACCCAGCACTGAATCGTAAGTTGCAGTTACTTGCTTTTTCTTATAAGCAGAAGTGCCCTAACCACATGTTTCTTGGAAACTTGCACCTTTGGAGATGTTGAGAGAAAGAAAGAGAGAGAGAGAGATTTTTTTAAAAGCTTGGCTTTTACAAACTCATTTGTAGCTGTTCAGTGATCAGGCCTTTTCTCCTTGATGAGCCAGCTTTCAGGAATTCTTGGCGTTTGTCTCTGTTGTGTTACCCCAGTAGTTTGTTATCTTTGCATCTTAAGGGCTGACTTGGAAATTCAGAATGTCAACTATTTCAAGAAAATGGAAGTTCTCACTCCACTATTTTAATTAACTTCCAGAAAGTGAGGTTTCCCACTGGTTATGATAATGTTAACTTAAAATACTCTTAAGGAAACAGGGCAGGAAGCAGAGTAAGAATAGGAGGACCATTGTTTTTAAAGGCAATCTCTGGGAAAAGGAGTTAAGCAAAGCCACAAAGGCAAAGTAGAAGAGGGTGTGTGGAGAAGAGAGGGGAGAGGCATAGATAGATCTCAAGGAGTCTAAACAATAGAGGATGGAAATGAAAGTGTATAATACAGGTTAAGTACAGCCTTGAATGCCAGGTTAGGATGGTGGGAGGGTAGTATGAGAAACTGTAAGAGATTGTTGGAATCAACATTAAAGATCAAGTTTATGTCTTAGGAAACTACCTGGGATTATGTGCAGAGGTTGGTGTGTAATGGGATCAGAATTAATCTGGACACTCGACGGCCATGGGATGAAGTCTTTTTAGGCCTACACCTGCCATCTATTTGTTTGTTAAATGGGGATGATAACAGTTATATGGAGATTGAATAAAATCAGAGACGGATGTTTTAAATAATGTCATAGAAAGCACTCAGACAAACAATACACACACATAAATTTATGGTCAGGTTGGGTGAAGAATAGTGTCTGAGCAAGCTGGGGTTCTGATAAAAAGGGCAAAAAAAGGGAGCTGACAGAGGGAGAAAAGGATGGAAGGACAGAAAGGCAATCCTTAAAGATGATCAACAGAGAATGGTGATGTCATTGAACGGCAGACAGTGGAATGGAGGTGGGGGTGCTGGGGTGCTGATGAGTTTAGCTTTGGAAATACTAAATTTGAGGGAGAGGGAGATATTCACAAGAGGTGGGTAGACTAGAGCTTTAAGACTTTAGTGTTCAATTTGTTTTAATTGAAAAAGCCCCATTGCCCTTAGGAAAGTATTTGGGGAGAGCTTCTGGCCCATATTTAAAGTTCAAAGTAAACTCAGTGAAGTTCTAAAAGCCAAAAGCTGCAGTCACCTACATATGAACAGCAATAATGTGGAATTAAGAATTGTCCCCTAGGTAAGTCTTGCTAGAAAGCAAGTTCTTAGGAAGGAAGACCCTGCCCCCATAATTCTGCATCCTCAGAGCCAAGATGGTGCTGACACATTTCAGGAATCCACAAGATGTTACTGGTAGAGTTATGCATTTTGTATAATTTTAATTTAGTGGTATCAAAGATGAGTACATTTCATTTTAGCTTGTTGCCTTCTTTAAGGAATTTCCCTTTGCTTGTTCCCACTTGAGAAATATCACTTAAGAAAATAATCACCAATAACCACAATCCTAACTACACAAAGTTGTTCACCACAGCATTTTTCATATTAGCAATAAAATGAGAAACAGTTCATATTTGAACCAACAGGGAAGTAAGAAATCATGTCTGTCAACTTGATGGACAATTAACCTAGAAATTGCAGGAACTATTCTAAGCATTTTGTAAATTTTAATTCATTTAATCCTCACAGCAATCCTACAGGGAATATACTATTATTGTAAGTCCCATTTTACAGATGAGGAGACCAAGCCCCAGGAAGGACAAATGGCTCACTCTGGGTCTTGTTGCTAATTCTTCGATTCTCAGTTCCATGTTCCTACTGGTCAACATTATTTAGACAATTTCAAACCTGTGCCCCCCAATTCTTCAGGCTAGTGATCACTCAGGAACCCATTGGGAACAAACAGAAGTTAAGCAAACGGATTGGTTTGGGCTTGTCCAGACCAACCTGCTAACCCTGAAGTTCTAGGGCTAAACGGTCTGGACTACCACAGGAATGTCCCTTCTAAAATTTCTTCCTCCTCTGAGGAAAGTTTCTGGAATCAACCTTTTTCTTCTGTTCTTTCCCTGACATGTTATCACGGCTCCTCCAGACCCACCTTAGTCCCAAAAGTCTCTTCAGAGGTGGCGCAGAGACTGGACAGGATGATGATACTGATCAGGGCAATAATGATACTATAATAATAATAGCCAAAGTGTATAGAGACACTGCCCTAGGCAATGTTTACACACATTTGAAAAGGGATGGGTGCCCTTTTCCTGATGAGGAAGTGAGGCTCAGAGAGACTGGGAGAAAGTGGGGGAGGAAGGACTAGCCATCCACAGACTGCATAGTATAAGCTTTTGGCCTTGGAGCCCTCATTTGTAAACCAACTTCAGACTCACCCCCTCCCTACATGATGGCATTCCTTGCATTTCTGATCTTCCTAGGAAATAAGTTTCCTCCAGAAAAGACAACAGGGAGGACACAGCAGATCTTGATGTTAATGACCTAGAAACTATTGATAATTGGTCCCCATTTTAACTCCTGACATTTTCTTTTAATTAAGAAAGTGGTGTTTATGGGTATTTATGATTTCTTCAAACGTATACCCTAACCTGAAGCAATTTAAAATAACAATATAGCACAAATGGAGCCAACAAGGGATGTGGTGAGCAGATCCTGACACATTAAGTGCTCCCCTCAGTCATTCTACCAAAGTGAATGGGCAGCCAAGGAGAGTGCTCAGAGTCTGAAGTGAAGCATTGCTCCAGACTGGAAGTTTTCAAACTTGGAAGGCATCGGTTTGTTATCAGTCTGTTAAGGTACACACTATTCAAAGACTTGGCTGTGACTGAGCACTAGCCTGTCTGTAAATAATCTATGGGTAAAGTTTACAGGGGGTCAAACATTAACAGTGTGGGGCTGAGGCATGCACTCTGCCACGTTGAACTCTTTCTACTCTCTTCTGACTACAACTACCACATTAAAAGGACAGAGTAGAGCACGCAGAGGCTGAATTCAAATGTGAACACTCTGTGATGATCAGTTATGCAGTTAGAACCAGTGAGAGATTTGGTGGCAACCATACAACTGTTCGGTCAAGTGTATGAAGGCTGAGGCCCCGTCAGGGCAGCTGCAAAGAGAAAGCCCTTATTAATCCTTTAACTAAGCAGCTGATAGATTTAATCTTTTTGTGTTTATGGTATAACTCTTTAAACAGAGGATTATTGTAAGTTAAAAAAACTCAGCATAGGATAACAAAGCTTTTTATAGATTTCTTTGTCATGTTAACTGATGATAGGAAAAAGAACTTTGAGACCTTCTTACTACAATTCACTGTCACTCTGGATTGAAAAGTTGTAAGAAAGCTTCATTGCTGATTTATTCACAAAAAGAATAGGTCTCTATTTGAAGAGGGAAGAGATCTCAGTCTCATGCCTTGGGATCTATTTTCTTCTGATTTTGTATCCATTGTTATTTAAAATAGCATAAAAAGACTCAGCCCACATTATTTTGCACAGTAGTATGAGAAAAAAAACCCACTTTACCTGGTGTAATCCCCTTTGGCTTCCTGGAAAAATAAAAATAGATGATTGGTATTTATTTATGTTAATTAAGCTAAATGAACTTTACTCTTGATTATTTACCCCTCTTAAAGTTCCTGAGTTCTGTCTTGTTTTGAATAATGTACCAAGGAACACTTTCTCTACGACCATGGGGAAGAATGTGGTGTCCATAAGGAAACACTAGTAGTCATGAGCTAGTTCTTATTCTTAACATTAGAGACAAATATATCTTTAGAAGAACACAGGGAGGAGGACTGGGGGAAGGGAATGGGAGAGAGGAGGGAGACAGGGCGGGGGGGGGGCTGGGATGGGAGAAATAGACAAAAAATGTACTTGAAAAATAACTAAATAAAAACAAAAGAAGAATAGAGGATTATTTCCCCTTTTTGCTTCTAAGGCCACGTGATAAATGCTTGTCTATTGGAATGGCACATTTTAGTTTGGGAGCAGACCTTTCAAACCATGACCCAGGGTAAATCAATACATGTTATTTGTTTACTCCTTTCAAACCAGCATGGAGCACACTCGTTTTTTTAGTTACCAGTGCTTTCAGGAATTAAAGGGCTCTCTTAGGATGGCAAACACACAATACAAGGTACAGATGATGTGTTGTGGAATTGAGCACCTCAAACCTGTAAAATTTTGTTAACCAGTGACACCCCATAAGTTCAATAAAAAGGGAGACAAAAGAATTAAAGGGTCCTTTAACTCAACCTCAAGAAAATGTCAACAAAAGTTGCTAAATTTAAATTACAATTGCAGCCATTGTAACAACTGCGGCCTCTCAGGTAACCCAGAGCTACTTTCCAGGAACATGGTCTTAACTCTTCCTTCAGAGCAATCCAAAATCCATTTTCGTTTGATATACACAATCTCATGCTGTAGCTCATACAAACTACGCTAAAACAGAACACGGTTGCTCCCATTTTTCATTGGCAAGCAACCAGCTGACTTAAAAATCCATCAGCGACTGGCCCCTGCATAAGTTTCATAGTTGCAGCAGTTTACAAAAGCAACAAATAAAAAAGATCAGCTTGGTCCGTTCTTACCTGTAAAACCAGCCCAGCTAACTTGAAGACGGTTTCACTGTCTACTTCAATTTGCCCCTGTTGGTGGGAAAGGAAAGCATCAGTGGACTCAGACCGCCCCTGGATGTAGCAAATGGCTGTAGAGTTGGGAAACTGTCACAGCTTGGCACCTCAGTGTGGGATCAAATACAGATCATACCATTGAGAGAAAGGGACGGGGGCGTGCAGCACTTCCTCCAGGGTTAAGAGGAAGCCACACCGTGTGTGTGTGTGTGTGTGTGTGTGTGTGTGTGTGTGTGAGTGTGTGCGTGTTAACTAGCTGTGCGAGTTTGTTGTTTGTTTAGGGAGCATTTCTAGAAGGAACATGAATGACTTTGAGGGTGAAAATTCAGACTTCTAAATGAATTATTTATATCTCTACAAGTTTATTTTTAAACTATAATATTTTCTTAAATCAGTTTAGTGCTTTCCTGAGATTTTTTTCTCTGTGTCATAGAATGCTTATTTTGGTATACACACAATGCAAATATTATTAAAAATGTAAATTCACTTCTGTGACAATGACACATTATTGAACTAATATTCGTAGCATTACAAATATAATGTAAAATCTTAAAAAGCAGTTATAGCAAATACTTCAAACACTAAACTTCTGTTGCTTTATTTTGAAATTTGATGAGCTTTAATTCATCATTTTTTTGTTATTTTATTTTTTCATCCTTCAAGATCTCAAATTAAAATAGAAGTTCTGGGCCTTGGTTAACAAAAATGCTTTTTCAGTAGCCTGATTGGGGTGCATAAGTGTCTGTGGAAAGGGTATTGCATCTATTCACAACCTTCAAATGCACCTTCATTTATCTTGTTAAAAATTAGTGATATATGTAAATACTGTCTCTGCATTCTGTAATATAATGCAACAATAAGTGGTTTAGAAGGATCTCTATTTAAAATTTTTTTTTTGTGATATTCTCACAAACATAAAAACAATCCCTCATCACTCACCCCTTGCCCAGGTCCTGTATAAATCAGCACTCAAAGGTGCATAGTGTTTAATGATTTGGAACTCTTGGGCCTGGAAATTGCCCTGCCCTCTCTCCTTTTCCCTTCTGCCTGAGAACCCAGGCTGGAGGGTTTTCCAGTTATACCAGGTACATCAATGAGGAGCAATTAAGTAGACCAGAGTAAATGCACACTCAGTGGATTTACAGAAGCAGTCAGCTCTGTGAGGTTTTCTGGAAGGATTACACTTTTCTCTCAGGTTTCTGAGTGATTTCACTGGGGTTTTCAAAAACAAAACAAAACTAAAGCCATAAAATGAAATAAACAAACCAAACACCAAGGACATTACAATGTCAGCAAAGATGATTATTCATGTTTATTTTGCATTACAAAATGAACACAAATTAACTTTATTCACCAACACTTAAGTGTCCCTTCTGAAACTGGAGGCAATGAATCTGCTTCAGAAGTTTTCTGCTTCACAAGCTGAGAGGCCCCATAGCCTTGGACTTTAAAGCTTGCCTATAATCTCTAGAAACAATGACTATACAAAGAAAAGCTAGGTTGACGGTAGGAATTAATTGCCCTCTGTCTTTCAGGCAAGAGACAGTGGTTTTCTAACCTGGCAAAAGATGATGGAACAGTTAACCCAACAGGTGAGGTGGGTGTTGATTAAGATTAAATTTTAGAAAGATTAAAGTCCTTTCATTCAAAGTAAAAACAAACAAAATAATGTATGTACAGTGAGGGGGGAAGAGGAGAGGGACTTCTAACACATCTTTGAATTTGAAATTAGGCTCAAATTCAAAGTTAAAGTTAAATTTGTCTTAAAATCTTAGAGAAGAGAAAAAGTGGATTATTTTGGGCATTAAAATAACCAAAGCTGAATAAAATATATTGAAAATATTTGTCCACCCCTAAAGACTCCTTTTGCCTCATTAGAACCTTAGGTGAGTCATCCAAACAATACTTTTTAAGAGATTTTATTTATTTTTAGATAAAGAGAATCTTTAGATATTTTTAGAGAGAGGGGAAGAGATAGAGAAAGAGAGGGAGGGAAACATCAATGGGCTGCTTCTCACCCCAGCCACGCAGGGATGGATCTGCAACCCGGGCATGTCCCCTTCGCCCTGTAGATGATGCTCAACAAACTGAGCCATGCTACTCAAGGCCAAACAATACTCCAGATATCAGCTTTTCAATTTAGTAAATGGAAGTTCAGCAGATAAAAGACCTCAGAGAGATACTGTTAAGGACACTGCCAAATAATTCTCTACCTTAGAAGGGCCATTAAATATTGAAAACACTGAAATGTGGAGCTGGAGCATGGAAGTACCAGGCTGAAACAGTTCCAGCAGAGTGGGAAGACAGACACACAACTCATTTGTAGACTTTCTTACCCTGACGCAATCCTGGTGGAGGAGGGTTGTGGTGAGATAGCAAGGGTGGGCCCTATTAAAACCCAGGGGGAGAAAGAAAGCACAATTTGGCAGTGCCCCACAGTCTCTTATACACCTCAGCCCCCACCTCACCCTTGGGCTAACCTCTATTCTGGAAATTCAAGGCAATCTATTTTGAGTTCTGATAGTCATGTCAAGGTTAATTGACTTTTGCATGGAATTCACAAAGCCATGGATAAGCCAGGAATAATACTATTTGCCTGATTCTCAGCATTTCCCCATGGTGAAATTTAATTAAGACTTACACTGAACTCTAGAATTTCATGCTTGGAGTGCAAAAGTTCTTTAGAAACTGCAGTCTGGCCTAGGCCAGAACATTTCTTTTACTCACAAAGATGGCAACAGAGGTAACCTTATAGGTACGAGGGAAGCTAACACTTGAGAAACGGATCTTCTTAAAGGGAGAGGTAATTGGATCCTTCAGTGGGTTTACAAGACTGTCAAGGATAAACAAAGAGAAGCAGAGAAGTCAGTCAGATGATGTGGCTGAATGCCCAGGGGTAATATGAAACAGTATCAGGTCCTGGTGCTGCACCCTCACAGCTAATCTAACTGGACTGTGGATTCAACCAGTGGGTCACTGGGTTCAGGCTCCACATTAGACACCTTATTTTTTCCCTGGCTTGTTGGTTCAACTGATGGAGATATCATGCTAATGAGGTGAACTCTAGGTTTTTGCTTCCCAAGTAGGAGAACAAAATACATGACAGTTTTAGAATGTGAGAGTAAATTCAGTGGAACTATGATTCCTGTTATTTGACAGATGATGCTACTCCACAGGGACACGACCCTCAGTGCATTGTCTAATCCCATAGAAGATATTACTCTCGATGCCCTGCAGTGCCCTTCCCACTCTGCCAAGCACTAGCTAAATTTCGATGACTGCAATGCAAATATTTCATCAGAAATCTCTCAAAGATTTGCTTTGTTAAAAATCAGAATTAGGTAGATTGGAAAAAAGACTCCAAATGTCCCTCCACTGTTGGTGGGACAGTATGTCATCATCAAACACATACACTCATAATTGAATGGGAAAATAATTTCTGAACATTCATTCTGCTTCTTCTGTGTTGATGTTGTTGTCCATGGAAACTATTCTGCACTATAGCAAGAGGCACTAATAACAAATACTTAGGATTTAGAGCAACTTGACAAACTGTTGGGAGATGTCAGTTTGCCTACAAGTCTATTAACAATTACTTATCTATTTTAGGGTTAAGTCTACAAAAAACCTAACTTGTAAAACATTGACAAATAAATGTAGAAGAAATGAAAGAGATAGAAAATTACCACTTGCAATAATTATAGTACTAATTGATTCAGACAGAGACTTCAATACATATAGGCTATTGGGTCAAAGTTAGAGGAGAAACAGGAAAAGATAGTGACATAGTCTCAAAGGATCTCACCTTGGGGACAATTAATTACAAAGGGGAAAATGATTACTCTTCATAGTGAATTGAAACCTGACAGATACTGTCTTAACCAGCGAATGAAATATCCCCAATAACTACACAGACCAGCATCCTGTGCCTTCTGATGGTGTGCAATGAGGACACAACTATATGCAGTGCTGTGCTATAAATGTAAATGTTTCAAAAACAGTAATGTAGGGGTAGCAGTAGAGAGGAAAGCCCTGATTTGCAGCATTTGTTGATATCCATGATGCAAATCCTCCCACGTTGGCTCATTTCAAGCTACCAATATGACACCACAAAACACGGCATTGGGAAAAGATGTGAGAATTGGTCCTCATAGCTGGTACTAGCTGGGTCCAGCATACCATTGAGTAGTATTCTTGCCAAATATATATCACTAGATCTAATCATGAGGAACCATGAAAAGAAACCAAACCTGACTTCCGGCCAAGATGGAGGCATAGGTGGAAACACTATGCCTCCTTGCACAACCAAGTTTAAAGACAAACAAAGTTTTAGCAACAAAAACACAACCAAAACATGGAAAACTGAACTGTACTAAAGTCTGACAAAAATAAACCATTCATCCAGACCGGTAAGAGGGGTGGAGTCAGCATCTGGTGGAGCGGGGTCACACAGGAAAAAGCAGCTGGACCAGAGTGACCCAAGCGCACAGGTGGCCGTTGGCAGATCCCAGGCATGGGGTGGCAATGGGCAGACCCAGTGGGGTTGCAAGGTGGCTGGCTGACTGCGGTCACACATTCACTTGCATATAAATCAAGTAAAGGAGCCAGCAGTGAGACAGACCACACAGGCTAGGGCCCCGGCAATGGGAATTAAAGACTAAAACACCAATTGGAAAAACTCTTGGGGTCAAGGTGCCGGGAGAAGCTCCCAGGCTCACAGAGAGTTTGTTGGAGAGACCCACAGGGTCCTGGAGGGTGCACAGGCTCACACACCCGGGAGCTGGCACCAGGGGGGCCTGGTTTGCTTTTGGGAAGCAGCTGAAGGGACCAAAATCTGAAAGAGAGCTTAACAAAGGCCATTGCCCCTCTCTGACCACGCCCCCACATACAACATCATAACACAGCCACTGGGTTGCCCCCTCCTAGTGAACATCTAAGGCTCTGGCCCTCATACCTAGCAAGTGTGACCTGACCAAAAATGGCTCAATCAGAAGAACAAATCAAACCCCCAGAGA